AGTTTAAAATTTATGTTTATTGTTTATTTCTGGAATTTTCTATTTAATATTTTCAGACCACGGTTGACCATGGGTAAATGAAACCAATGAAATCACAGGAAAAAAAAATCCCAGATAAGGGGGGACTACTGTATCTACTTTCTGGTTGCTTAAGGTTCCCAAAATATGCTCTATTTCTGTACCTATATAATTAACCCCACCTCCAAGAGTCAATTGTTAATTATTATTATACATGGAAAACTTTAAAAACATACATGGAAAACTTTAAAAACAATTTTTTTTTAATTGGGGAATTGGGGGGATGGGAACAGTGCTGGGGAAGGGGAACAGACAAGTTGCTGTTGTTTTGTTCTTCAGTCTAGTTGTGGAGGACGTTGCTTCACTGGCCCAAGTTGGCACCATCNCTTAGCTGTAGAGGGCAGTGTCACTGGCCCTCATATGTGGGATCTGAACCGGGGCCCTCTGGCGTCCCAAGCCAGCTCTTAACCAATGTGCCACTCGGCCGGCCCTGTTTTTTTGTTTTTCAGTCTAGTTGTGGAGGATGTCGCTTCACTGGCCCATGTTGGTACGATCATTGTGCTCTTCCCAGGTGAGGCAATCGGTTTCTGGTCATTGGTTGGCTGCTCACTGCCGCTCACAGAAGCTCTCGCCAGCTGCTAGCCGCTCACGCTGGCTGCCAGCCACTCATGTAGCTCATGGCAGCCCACTGCAGCCCCGCTGCAGCTTACGCCGCTGCTGGCAACTCACAGCAGCCCAGCTCCAGGTAGAACTGTTGTTCAGCTAAATGTTTTAAATGCCTGCTAACCACTCCAACACCACTAGACAAAGGGAAGAGTGACAGAGGGGAAATCAGTGAGGAAAGAATTAACAATCTAAAGATTAAATTTTTTTTTTAAAGATTTTTTTTAATTGGGGAATTGGGGGGATGGGAACAGCGCTGGGGAATTGGGGGAAGGGAAACAGACAAGTTGCTGTCAAGGATTAAATTTTTTTACTTTTACAAATTTTACAAAGGCATATGACTGTGTGAACATATTTCCAGGGCCTCGTCCAGGACCTAGGAAAGGGCTAGTGCAAATGAAGTCCCCTGAAGCTGTAGCTTTCTTGGCTTTACAGTAAATCTGCCTCAAGTTTTGGAGCTATTTTATTTATAAATTGTCAATTTTCGCAGTCAGCTCTATACAGGGTCAGTGGATAAATTAATTACAGCTCCATTTAAGGCAAAAATATTTTTCTAGCAGATCTTTGCCGTTTGTATCAAAGGACTGGCTCCCTGCTATTTGTTTCAGCTAGGAATAGTCATCACCATTTCATACTCTTAAAAAGTATTGAGGGGCCGGCCGAGTGGAGCGATGGTTAAGAGCTGACTTGGGACGCCAGAGGGCCCCGGTTCGGATCCCACATATGAAGGCCAGTGACACTGCCCTGCACAGCTAAGATGCTGAACAACAGCTCAACCTGGAGCTGGGCTGCTATGAGTCACCAGCGACGGCATAGGCTGCAGCCCCTGCAGCAGTGTGTGCCATAAGCTACTGTGTGTAGCCAGCAGCCAGCGTGAGTGGCCGTCCAGAGGCCAGCGACTGATCTGCCTCGCCCGGGAAGAGCGCAATGATGGTGCCAACTTGGGCCAGTGAGGCAACGTCCTCCACAACTAGACTGAAGAACAAAAGGACAGCAACTTGTCTGTTCTCCTTCCCCCAATTCCCCA